CGAAAAAGACATTTCTCTGTGCGTGGGTAAAATCTACATGACAACAGCCTATGGAACTTGTGTTTTTGCTGCTAATACACTTTAGCACTAGTACAAGCTCATGATGTGACCTAAAAAGAACAGGTCAGCTCAAACATAGTTCATAATTAGAATGTTTTGTAGGTGTGGGTGTGCGTGCTTCTTTGTGTGTTGGCTGGTTTGATTAATGGTGCAAGGCCAGTTGTGCCTTGTAACTCAAGGGCCTCAAGTCCCTGGTATTAAATCACACAATCACACACACGCGCGCACGCGCACACACACACACATGCGAGCCCCTCAAAGCAGATTCAATGCTTTGTGTACAATAGCAATCAATCCCAGGCTTCTGTGGGGTGAGGTATGGAAATTGATTAGTTAGTTTTACTAAATATACTTTTAGACTGTAACAGCTTCCCAAAACAGAACAATCCTTACGATGAGTTTCAATCAGAGCGCAGAGACGACCATCTTAAACGGCTTTCTCTTTCCATCTGACCAGGGGAATATCTCCTTGTTGGTTCTGCTTTATCTCAGTGCTGCTGCTGAGAGTCTAGAGACCAGCAGAGGCATTCAAGGGCATAGCTTATATCTGTTTTCCATTTATGTAAACAAAAATTATCAAAATACACTCATCAGATCCCACACAAGTGGAATCAAGTTCCAGTAGCAAAAGTCACAGCTCATAAGTTTACAAAATCTCGCAAAATTTTTGATTTCTTGGCCATTTTCAGGAAATATCTTCCAACCAATTTCGTTTTTCAGGGCTGCCATGCGCACATAGTTTAACAAAGTCAAGAACGCTTCACAATTTAACATCACATATGCCTTAAGATAGGATAAGTTTGGAGGTGAACATATACAATCTCTAACCATAAACAGTGGTTCTCAAAGTGGGTGGCGCGCCCGCTGGGGGGGGGGGGGCGCCCAGATTCTTTTAAAGGTTTAAAAGGGGGCTCGACCAAAAAAGTTTGAGAACCACTGCTCTAGGAGGAACAATGCAAAAATGTTATTTTAAATAATAGTTTTTAATATTTACAAAATAATTGACTTCCCTGTTGGTCTTAGAAACTAACTCCAATAGACTTTTTTTGAATTTAAAACAATAGAAAATCATGTATTCAGTGTGGCCACTATGTGGCGCTATAACTGAGACTGTAGGTTGCTAAATAGATTTTAGGGCTGCAACAAACGATTATTTTGGTAATCGATTAATCTATCGGTTATTAGACCGATTATTCGATTAGTCATCGATTATTTCAAAGATTAATCAGTAGCCTTTGAGCAATTATTCTGCTTTTTCAACTAGTTAAAATAATGAATAAATAAAGAAATACACAGTTATGAAACTAGATATTTGGAGGGTGATAATCTAATAATTCTTAAAGAATCTGGCAACATTTCAAAATGTAAGAAACAAATAAAGATAAGTTTAGAATCAGCATCAGATAATGAATGGTGTGAGAAAGAAATGTTTTGGTGTGTGTCTTCATTTTATTTCTATTTTTGACTCTTAAAGCTTTTAAAATGAACTTTCCCCATTGTGGGACAAGTTTTTTTCCCATAATGTGAATGGATCTATATAGCTTTTTATTTTATATCAACGATTTTTTTACTTTGTTTATCCTTCTTTTTACGTTAAATGTTAATTATTCTAATGAAATAAAATATAAACATCTAAAGTTTGTGTAATGCTGTACATTCATAAATTATTACAATATTCAATGCTGTAAGCAGCTTGCTTTAAGCAATTGCATTCTTTTAAACTTTTTAAACAATATTTATAGTTGAACAATGTGTTACAAGTAAATTTGACATCTACGCGGCATATAAGCAAAATAAAAATCAAAACGTCTTCACGAGTAAACATTTAATTTGAACTCTCATTGGTTTAGTCTGTGTAATCACGTGATTGAATGCGTGTTCACGCAGAGGGGAGTCGAAATCTGCCGGGGTCACCTTTAAGTGCTCCAACATGCACGTTGTGCTCCCGTGAAAAGTAAGTTCCGCCTCGCATGTATTGCACACGACAGCATTTTTGGTTTAGTTTAGTAAATCTTTCCCAAACCTTACTCGTTCGGATTCATTTGCACTCCATCATAATTCGCGCTGAGTTTTCTTCTACTGCAGTAGCTTTCGTGAGGGCTGCATCACACTCTAGCGCTACAGCGCCGTAGCGCTTAAATCGCGACATGTGACCCTTACCTTAGATCACATGACATCAAACGACTATTCGACAACAAAAATATTTGTCGACAATGTCGACTAATCGTTTCAGCCCTAATAGATTTGTTCAGACATGGACACTTAACACGCATACCAAGTTTGAATGTGATCTGACATTGCCTGGCTGACTTATTAACAACTTCCTGTTTTTGACTAATTTCGACGACCGCTGAGCCCACATAGTTCGAATTTTAACCTTGCATTTTAACATCCCAAATGCCTTGAGACCTTTTTAAGAGGTTTTTGAAAATAAGCGACTTCCTGTCGCATTTGTAAATGCATTCCATATGTCTTCAAGTCATTATTTATTTAAGTCATGGTACAGAACCAGAAAGAACCAGAAAGAAAGATGTTTATTGCCAAGTGTGTTTGTGGAATTTGTTGTGGTACAAGGGATGATCTCCAGTTTTGGAGAGAATCCGACCACGGCTGCCATCCTTGGCGACATCTTGGAAGAACAGAGAAATGGGTATAGAATGGCAAAGGTAGCTAAATAAAAGCTAACATATCTTACACATGTGGGCTGAATTTCATTTAAACTGCGTACAACAAACTGTTAGCTAAAATATATTAGGTGGCGCTACCGATCCATTTTTCAACACTCACTTTTCAATCCCCATCCGATGTACATTTTCACCAGTTCTGACGTGTGTGTGAAATTCTATGACTTTTCGAGCACGTTTTGACCCTCAAAAATGTCAATTAAATACAATAAAAATCTGAGCAATTACAGTAGGGTTCTACGCATTTTTGCTGCTCAAGCTCCAATAATGGAAAATGTTGATTGCAAAGATTTTTTGTTTGTTGTAAGTCAAACTTGTGGGTGGTTGACCCCACAACATCACAGTAGCCTCGTTACATGGTTGGTTTACATAAACGGCTTGAAGCTGCAGTTATTCTTCAGATGATTACTCTATTGTACCAGGCCCGATGGTCTGGAACTGTGTGCGGTTTTGGAGATCAGTGTTTAGTTTTGTTAAGTACACCTCTCTGTGTGAATGGTTAGTCGCTGAAGCCTTACATCACCCCACAGTGAAACCCCAGTCATATGTGTTCTGTCATTACTGTCAGCCACAGACCATAGAGAATGTACACAAACCCAGCAGAAACACAGGCCAGAAATGATTGAGTTATGCCTTCAAATAGAATCATGTCAGTCAAACTAATAAAGAGTCGAAATATGTATTTAAATATTATATGTATGAGTGCACAGTTTGATTGTGTTTGTATGTATCTTTCAACTTGTGTTATGTGTTTGACATATCTTTATCAAACAGCATTTTGGTTTTTATTAAATCTACAAGCAATTGTAACCTGAAAAATATGTTTGTGAAAAGCAATATTTATTCGACTAGAGAGAGAGAATACCAGGCTTTTTTGTACAACACTCTAAAAGGATTTTTGTTCAATTACATCTATTAAAATGAGTACATTTGAAACAAATGTTGATTCAGATGGTTTGAGTTTAATACATTGTAGTTTAGTAAACAAGATATTTACCCTTACTAAATTTTTCGAGTCTAACTTGACCAGGTGACCGATTCAGACATCTCGGGTCCAGGATTGGATCCACCGGCCAATCTTCAGTAATTTAAATTCTTAAAAGTTTAACATATTATTGGGTTGAACGTCTTGGTCTGCATGACGCGGCCATTCAGTTGCAAGTTGCCTTATGTAAATGAAAAAAAATCTTTTTACAAAGGCCATTTTCTAAATTAAGAAGTAAGTAGCTATAACCATTTAAAACCATTAACCACATTAAAAAAAAAACAACAACATTTATTTCTAATTAGAATGTAAGGGATTGTTGCAGCTAATCTGCATATTTAGCATTATTAGGTTTATTTACAGTATAATTATGCTGGTGTGTAAACACATTTTCTACTAATCTAGTTTGAGCTACAGACACCAAACTGGTCTGATTCTGGTTGCTACATATTTACAGAATGGTACCACAAAAGCAAAATCGCTGAGAATGCTGGGAACTTTTCCATTGACTTTGTGAAACTGTAACTTGAGAACCTCATGGAAACCTCAAACTGACAACACTTGTGGAGGCTATGCAAAATTATACCTAGGCAAAAGTATTTTTAGTTTTAAAAGAAATTTTTGTTTATGTTAATCAAGTAACAACACACATTTTATCACATCACTGACAACAGCCTAGAAGCCAAACTGTTTACCCTAGCAACCACGTTTTCTGATCTCTGTCTCATTTCTGGTACGTAGTAAAGACATGGGGGTTGAATTATGTCACTCACATTGGAAACATTATGTTATGTCACTGACTCTCCCATAACAACCAAACTGTTTACCCTAGCAACCACGTTTTCTGATCTCTGTCTCATTTCTGGTACGTAGTAAAGACATGGGGGTTGGTTTATGTCACTCACATTGGAAACATTATGTTATGTCACTAACTCTCCCATAACAACCAAACTGTTTACCCTAGCAACCACATTTTCTGATCTCTGTCTCATTTCTGGTACGTAGTAAAGACATGGGGGTTGATTTATGTCACTCACATCGGGAACATAATGTTATGTCACTGACTCTCCAATAGCAACCAGACAGTTTACCATAGCAACCAATTTAGCATATGTATATATCTGCTTCAAAATTATCATTTCTTTACACAATGAAGGTTGACCCTCTCAAACATTTAGTCGTACTATGTGCAGAATTTTATATCCTTTTTATTTCTATTGTGAATCGGTATTGAAAAAAATATTTCATAAGCACAGTCTCAGGATATTAGATTTCCTGTGGCTCAGTCAGAAGAGTGTGGTTCTTGCAATGCAATGGTTGTGGTTTCGAACCCCTGGGAGAGTAATAGCTTATGCAAATGTGCTCCTTCAATGCAATGCTAGTTCTGTCAAATGCATGACAATTATTATGCATAAATCAGAGGCTCCTAAAAGGCTCGCTGTGAAGGTATTTGGGTCGACTAAATCTGAACAGACTTTAGTTTAGACTAGGTTGATGTTTGGAGGGCACTTAACCACATTCTTGGCTGATTCGTTGCTCTCTCCCATTGTTTCTAATTTTCTCCGTTCCTTCATGTTTAGACTGCTCAATAACATTATGAGGTGCATTGGGCCACTCAGTTGCCCTGAGTTCCAGCAAAGCCATTCCTATCATCATTCACATCTTTGTTTATAAAAACGAAAGAAGGAAGAAAAAAGTAAATAAAGGGGTTAATTAAACTCTGCTAGCAGGGATCTTCTTTTGCATAGGAATTAAGTGGCTCTGTCTCAATAAAAGTAAGAGATTAGGGTCATACAGAAAGGGCATTACACACACCATAAAAGAAGAAGAAAGGAAGACTGGGATTGGTTCCCAGTAGAAACCGCTTCTATCACAGAAACCATTTGATGTAGCAGTGTAAAACCATTTCTCAGTTTCTCAATATGTCAAGAGTGCAGTGTAGTCATAGGAGACAAGATGGTCCAAACGAGAGAAGCAGAATCTAGTATTTTTGGAATTAATGTCATCAACTTTTTGATTGGGTTTCCATTTGGATTGCTTTTAATTTAACTCCGGAAAGATTGTGATTGTCTTTTTGTGAGCTTTTAAAAAGCAAATATGCAGTATCTCTTCTGTTGACATGTCACAATGTGCTCAAACATCTTTGTGTTGTTTCCAGGAGCTGAATATTCAGTGCCTCAGCACTGGTCACATGACGCTGATGTCAAAGTGATGCTGGTGAGGAAAAGACGCTGGTTTCTCTCTGAACCTCTTCCTTTGGAAAATAACAAAGCCAGTCAGGATAGTTCGAAGCCTGAGGCTGTGGATTCAGCAACAATACTGGCAGAGGATGACACAGACAACAGCTCCCAAATAATGGTAACCTGTAACCTATATAAGCACAATTTGGGGAATTTATGTGTTTTGATTCTAAAATACTATTTCTTATACAATAATATATTATATAGTAATCTAGGAAGGGGATACGCTTCTCATCAATCCCAGATTATTTTTACAGTTTCAGTATTTAAACTCCAAGTCAGAAGGTTGCTGGCTCAGTGCTTGACCAGGAGTGTTTCTGAGTGGGGATTGCTGCTTCAAAAAATTATGTAGAATAAATGGTGTGATGGACTTCATCAATATCTTCCACTAAAATCTCTGCTTAGTTACTTCTGTAATCATCCGCTTGTGTGGTAAAGAAACAGCAAGAAAATATTCAACTCTTTTACAGAAAGACTACAGAAAATCTGAATAAATCAGGAAAGAAACTGGTGTTTGTCGTGTTTTGGAACCAAACTCCTCAAATATAAATACTAGGGGTGTAACGGTTCACGGGGATGTATTGAACCGTTTCGGTACGGCCTGTTCGGTTCGGGACACTTGCGTACCGTTTCGGTATTCAGTATATTTATTAAATTATATAAATGCATTATTAGCGCGATATTAAGCGCAGCGGAACAATGTTCCTAGGCGAGTTTCCGCACGGACGCTATTGACTGACGAGCGCGAGAAGGAAAATGGAATCTTATCAAAAGCGAAAGAGAAGCCAGAGCTTGAAGACCCTCTCACCTCACTGCGGTCTCGTGTTTGAGAACACTTTCGCTTCTCTGTTAAAAGACATAACGGGGATAGACGAGTGGATAAATCTAAAGTTGTATGCCGACATTGTTCCACGGAGATAGTTTCCGCACGGGCGCTATTGAGTGACGAGCACGAGCGCGAGTAGGAAAATGGAATCATATCAAAAGCGAAAGAGAAGCCAGGGCTTGAAGACCCTCTCACCTCACTACGGTCTCGTGTTTGAGAACACTGTGGCTTCTCTGTTAAAATACATAACGGGGATAGACGAGTGGATAAATTTAAAGTTGTATGCCGACATTGTTCCACGGAAATCGGGTATGTGTCAGGCATCACATCTAACATTTTTCTACTGCTGGAGATATTATAACCAGATCTATGCTCTCTTCAGAAAATGTGGATAGGTAATCTATCCTAACTAGTTGCAGTATTTCATTTTTTATTTAAAAAAATGTGTTTTTCTTTATAAAGAGTGCAATTTATTTAAAATATCACCCAAAAGTGTCACTTTTATTTATTTTATGCAAGAATTCTACTGTGTATTGGCAGCTTTTCAAAATAAAGAATATGTAAGTTCTTATTGTTGTGTACCGAACTGAATGAACCGAACCGAACTCTCCAAGACACTGTACCGAACCGAATACGATTTTAGCGTACCGTTACACACCTAATAAATACATTAGTTTTTTTTACAATTCACATCCTTTATGTGGAGATGAAGGGAGGCTTTCAAAGAATACATGATAAACTCCAAAGATGAAATAAATGCTGAAATGAAAAACCTTTCAGAATTAGAATCAATATATTTAATATGTCGTAATTTTTTACCATTAACTGTGTAGTCAGTGCTACACACACACACACGGGAAGGATATTCTGGTCAAGCAACTTTACCGGTCATGTTTCGAACACAGTGAAGACAGATATACTGCAGAAGTCACCAGCTGTTAGTCGTTTTTCGCATGGAACGCTTTATAGCTCTTTAGGACTGGTTTTCTTTTCAGATATTTTTGTGTCTTTCGTGCTCCGAAGACTTCTAGAAATCTTCTTTTTTATGTATATATACATGCTGGCAGACTGGTTATGGTTTGTGTCCATGATAACATATGTTCATGCTCCTTGACTGACTGATCTTTGTATCCGTTTGTTGAGTTTTGTAGAATAAATTCACGCAGGTTTTCATTTAACATTTAAACAGTTCAAAGCAACCCATTAAACGAAGGTTTTGTCAGAAAGTCTCCAGGAGTTTTCTTGGTGGCTAATCTGATTAAACACTAATGTGCAGAGAATGGACAGAGAGCAAATGCCAATGTGCACCATATACCCAAATGAAAAGTATCATATTATGATTTATGTGCATAGGGGGCTCTGTTAGTTTCCCACGGTAGGATTTCCTCAGAACCGTGGGAATGTTTGCCGTGTGTATTCAAATACTTTTGATATCCACTTTTGCTTAGAAGTTCTAGCTTTACTTGAAGCTTGAAGCTATTGCATATAAATACAAATATTCGCGAGTAAACATGGGTGTGCCAGGTGCATCATTTATCTTCCATACTTCTTTGTGTCTTCTTTTCATTCTTTTAGGTTTTGATTTCTATTGCGTTTTTGTGACATTTGTTACGTTTTTTTTTATAATGGTTGGTTTAAGTGTCACTTAGAAGTTTCCTTTCAGAATCAACATTTTCTAAGTGATTCAACACTACAAATTACAAATTTGGACCCTTGATTGCAAACAAGATTTGGGCACAGCAAAAAGTGATTTTCCTAATAAATTGATTGATTCATTTAAGAGGCATCCAGCAGACTGGAGACTATAAAAAGGCATTACTTAACAAAGAAAAGCCCTGTCTTTTTAATACTGTCAGCAATGGCTCCCCATGGAGGAAAAATGTCACAAAATCTGAGATCTATAGCAAAAAAATCTATATGACAATAATAAATATAATAAATGACAGTAAATTTCATAGAGTTGTCAAATGTTTACTTGGTAAAATGTTTATATAGTGTGGAAAGGCTTTTTTGTGGAAAATGTGTACATCTAAGGCAGATGAAGCTAGCTTGAGGCCAAAGAACTCTGTTACCTCTTTTGAACACCTGCACATACGATCAAGGCTATGCTCATTAAATCTGCCTGTCTTTCCTAATTATGTGATCAGCCATGGAAATACATAAAATGTACAGAAATTGGCTCAATCTTTTATAAATGTGCCTCATAGCTCTCGATTTTATGTCGAGGAGAGTTTTGAGTTTAATAGCAAAAGATCAAAATGCTATTTCTGATGTGAGATTCCAAATTGGCTTGAAGCCCAACTGCTAAAACTTGCCACAGCCAGATGTAAATCTTTTTGGGTCCTCTTTCGATTTTTTTTTTTTTTTTTTCCAAATGGAAAGTTTAAAGAAGAAGAGAAACATATGTTTGCCCACTGAGATTTCCTTGAAGACAAGCACTATGACCTTTTCCCTGTATGGCCTTCTGATGTTCCCTCTAGGAGGACTTAGATCACAACTACTACACCTCAAAGACGTATGGCCCCAGTGATCCTATAAGCAAAGCTTTATGGGTAAATATTGACCATATGGAAAAGGAAAAAGTGAAGATTCACGGCATCCTTTCAAACACACACAGACAAGCGGCGGTAAGACAGCATTCTTTATTTAATTCATTGGTCTGGCTTGAACTTAAGGAAGCATGTATATTAGAAAATGCAAACTTATTGAATTTATTCCAGCATAACAAGCTTCTGCCACATTCGTCACCCTGTGTTTCACAGAGTAGCCCTTTGTTCTGGTTGGACTGTTGTAAGATGTTATAATTGAGAAACTAATGTGGGCCAAAAAGGACCAAACTTAACGGTTGAATATTGTGGTATTGTGTTTGCCAGAACAGATCATATTCAAAAATGCAAGATAGATATTTATAAAAGGTATAATACTTAGATGTTTCATTTAAAACATTTTAACATACGCTCTGAAATATAGTGTACATGGTGTGTTTGTACCAGCTTACCTTAATAATAACATTATTTAAACGTTAACGCATAAAACACATTATTTTTAATGACTTTCAATGGTAAAGGGACTATTTCAATTTACTCGCTGTGGCCTTCCAGTTAGAAGGTTGACGGTTCGAGGCTCGCCGGTGACCTTCCTGGAAGGAGTTTGCATGTTCTCTCTGTGCTTGCGTGGGTTTCCTGTGTTTACTCCGGTTTCCCTCACAATCCCAAAATTATGCAGTTAGGTTAATTGAATAATCTAAATTCCCCTTAGGTTTGAATGTGTGAGTGA